AGAGGCTGATATTTAAAAATTATCGTTATTACGAATAAGGCCCAAAATAATTTTGTATCCGTGGCTTTAAGTTCCGTAGCTTAATAACTCAAATGATAACTGATGAATATAAATTTGAATATGTATAAAAAACCTACTTTAGCCTATTTGTTTCTCTATTTATTCTCTCTTTATCATTATCTGCATTGTAGAAATATTTCTTGATTCAACACAAATTTCTGACATATTTTGTAAAATTTCATTTATGATCAACGTTATATCAGATGCAAGTTTTGGATAACAAAATTTGTTGTCGTCTACAATCAGACAAGCAATGCTACAAAAAACTAGTTTATGTAGTTATGAAGAAACAGTATCTGAAAACCAGATCACTTATAGTAAATATTATAGGAAAGGTTATACTTCACTTGAAGATATAGGAATTAAAATGTGTATTTTATTTTTAATGTTTTAATACTAAATAGAAAATTCTGTATCTAGTAATTATTTAATTAGACTTGTATAATAAATATAACAATTGTTGCAGATCATAATGAAATCAGATTATTGTGAAATTTAGGGGTCTCAATTTAAAGTTATAAGCTTTACCAAAATCTACCTATACTCTTTTCCTAATAATTCTAACCCTAAACTCTAACTTAAATATAAAAAAAACCTAACTAAAAAGGTCCCAAAAATTTTTAAAAATCATATATAAAATAAGTTAAATTTCATTATGATCTGCCACAATAATTAATTTGTGTGCCAAAGTTTGATATAGTGATTATTTTTTAAATTCAGTACAACAATAACTTAAAATTATATATTTAATTATGAGAAACAATCACTGTTATATTTGGATTAGGCTTGCTAGCTAACAATAAATTTGGGCCTTTATTTGTAATTATTTTTAATTTTGGGCCATATTTGTAAATTCTTTTAAATTTTTTTCAAAATCATAAGCATAACAGACAATCTTATAATTGGCTAATATAAATTAATTATCAAATAACTTATTTGTATACTTCAAAATACTATTTGAAAATGTAACTTTTTACTAATAAAAACTATTATAAATATTACCAATATATGTAGAAAAATATTAGTATTTATTATATAAAAGTATTTAAAAATAATAAAAAATTTTTTTTGTAAATACTATAATTGAAACTTTATTTAATAAAATAAAAAAAACTATAGTTAACAATTTTAAAACTATATTTGTGCTAATAAAAAGACACCTAATGTAATTTTTTTTTTCTTTAGCAATTCTGTTTACTTTATTATGAGAACAGACTTTATCCTTATATGATATAAGAAATCTAAATTTACAAGTGTTTCTACTAAAAGTTAAACTTATCTACAGTGTATCTTGCAGATGTTATAACATCCACTTGCAGTCAGGGCAAACTATTAAACCACTGTGTTTTGCCCAGATGCGACCCACCTAGCAACACTTGGCCTCCTTCAGAGATTCAGAACTCACTTTGGACTTATTTCACCTGGATTTCTCAGCTGGCTGTTGCTCACCTTATCAAGATTTCTACTCTATAATAGAATGTTGCCAAACTAGTGATAATTCTCATAGGAAAGGAAAAAAGAAAAAAAAATATAATGGAAAATGAAAAAAGTGATAAAAAATAAAACTAATATATTAAAGAAAATGGATACTAATATTAAGAAATAATAAAAAACTAAACTAAAACCTAAAAGAAACTATCGTTAAAAAGAAAAAAATCTGCTAACCAGGTGAAAACTTCTAATTATACAAAGTCATGATCTACTATTAAGTGCAAGAGTCTTGACAAGAAATTTAAAACTAAAGTAAAATGCACTATATTTGTACTAGAGGCTAAAAATTATATACAGGTGACTAGAGAATACCTATATATCTCTTTTTACTTTGCTTTACTCTTTCAATTAAATCTATATCTTCATCCAAAAGTATAAAAATTTTGGAATCTCCATGTGCCCTATCTAATGATCACGTGTTTGTATATTCTCAACAACATGACACGTAAGATATACTTCTGAATATCTAGTTACTAAATTCACTAGCATCATCTATTTTATATGTATTATTTATCATTATGCAGAGTTTTCTGATATGGAAGTGATAAACATTGCTGATCTTTTGAAGGTGATATACCGAATTCTCTACTTTTTGTTAAAAATTATAACCAAAAGTATTAAAAGAAAAAATACTGTATTTGCAATAGCTCAAAACAATGAAAGTGTTTCCAGTTGTTCTTTATAGAACTAAAAAGCTTTAGACATTTGAGTCAGGAGTTTTTCCCTACTACTATTACCAAAATAACCCTTTTGGCTTGGATGCTAAATATACAAAAGAGTCCACCAAGAAGAAAAGCTTGACCCAAAGCACAAACCAACTATATATGCTCGCTCCTTGGTGTTTCATATATAAGTCTTCATTGACAACAGTATCAATAAAGAACCTTAGATATCTTTGGTCTTTTTAGGGTCTTGAATTTTTAAACTGTTTTGGTGTAGTCTTGGTTCAAGTGATTGTCAGAAAGAGTTTTTTGGACACCTAATATAATTTATATCTTATAATTTTTTATATAGTACTATAATTAATTATTTTAAATTAATTAAATAGCTATATTATTAGTTTTATTATTATTATTGTTGTTGTTGTTATATTATTTTTTTTTATAATTCAGCAATCCTGCCTTTGTTTATTTGAGATTAAGCTATTTAAGAATTATACATTTCTATTTGTAGCTATTGCTAATTTAACCAAACTAGAGACTCACTTTTAGCTTTCACCCAAGTACAAAATGCCTCAGTAGTTCTTGGCCTCCTTTTGGATTCTTAACTCACTAAGGATTTATTTCCCATTGGTTATCAGCTAGCGACTACCCGCCTTGTCAATACTATCTAATTATATTTATATTCTACAATGTAATTGCACTTTGGCTGTGGCCAGTACTTGCAAACAATGCAAAGCATCGAATTGCTAATTTTAAAGTAAGATTATTATATTGTGTATTTTCTATTCTATAACTTCTAAAAATTTTGCTACTACTAATTTCTTCTGTGATCTTTTATAGTTATCCCAATTACTCTTTTCATACTTCATTTTTTTTTTCTACTAGTAGTCTGCTCTGGCGCTTCAATCTTCTACTTTCTTACTTCTTTTTATGTTTCTTCCAGTTTCTAAGCTTTATCTTATTTTCTTGCTCTTGATCGTATCTTTATACAGATTTTCTCCAGAAGTATTTGTTTGCAGCTTTTTCCTTTTTCTAGTTTCCTTAGATTCTTTTGCTTTTAGGTCTTGGTTACTTTGTCTAGATCTTTTTTTTCTCTTTTATCAACACTTAGTGCTTTTTTCTTTTCTTCTACTCTATAGTCTTACATTTCTTTTAATAAGTGTCTTTTAGGATCTTGTATACTTCTCTTTACCTTTTGGTCTTTTTTTTTTTTTTTTCTTTCTCGCAATGTCACGAATAGGCGAATTTTTGTTAGGTATTTAAGTAGTACATTTACTATCACCTACAATTATGCTAGCCTATATCTTGTGCTGCTATATTTAAAGACCACCCAGATCGATATATGCTACACTACTTGTGCTCTAATTCTATAGATAACTCAGTAGAGTTCTTATACTTACTGGGTTGCCCTAGGGAGGGTGTAATATATGGATATGTATCATTTCACTGACAATCACTTTACTAACAACTTAGTTCACCAACAATTAATTCACTGACAAGTTTATTTCACCGACAATTAATTCACCAACAAGTTCATTTCACCAACAAGTTTTTTTTATAAATTACACTAACCTTAACTCTAATTTAGCCTGACCTTAACGACAATGACCAAAATTACTTTGTCTGTGAAATGAGCTGTCAGCGAATTAATTGTTGGTGAAATGAACTTGTTAGTAAATTAATTGTCGGTGAACTAAGTTGTTGGTGAAGTGATTGTCAGTAAAATGAGCACCACCTGTAGTATATACTCCCCTAATCTTTCTATGTCCTACACATTTCTAGACTAGGCCTTTTCGGTAACTTACACTGAGTCTGAGAACAAATATTTGCGAGCTGAAGCCGCTACAGTTACCTACTACTGCTCTTGTAAAGTTCACCCAAACCCTATTACCTACTTTATGGACTCTCTCGTATACCTCCAGAAACCCAAACTCCCAATCCTACAGCCCAGAAGAGCAGAACCCTTCCTCTGTTTTTTTCTATCGGCCTGGTTGGTATAGTGCTTTTGCCAAACACCTCGGTCTTGTCCGGTTTTCTGGTATCTAATTAATCATTTTTTATATAGTAACCATTGAAAATCTGTGCTACTTCTCTACTCGGGTCTTGCCAAGCAGGCTCTCATACCCTGTAAATTCACTAGATTTATCTGGTAGTTTTACTCAGATTTCATGTAACTCATATATCATACTACATGTTCTACTAGCTTCCAGTACAAGCTAATATAACCACCATTATAGGTTCTACAACCCAATAAGATACAGTCTTCCAAATATATTTTCTATAATTCGAATTTTTGTCGCTAGTGAGATTCAAACTCTAGTCCTACTGCTTGGGAGTGTGACAACTTGCCAACTTCACTAAATCACTACACCCTTACCTTTTGGTCTTTCTAAAAACCTCCTTATTGTTTCTAATATAAAGATTTTCTTTTCCTCTTCCAATTCTCAGAACTGCATATTTGTTTCTTTTTCTTATTTTATAAGCTTGCTTTTCTTCTATGTGACTTTTTTGTAGTTTAAAGTACTTTTTTTAATTTCTGTCTACTTTTCTTATACTTCTTTTTGCTATTTTAAACTTGGTGTCTTTCTTTTTTCTTTTCCAATTCTTGACTTCTATTGTTCTTCCTGTTACTGCATCTTGTATATTATTATCTTCATTTATGCTAATATTCATTAATGATCTAATTCATCTACTCTATTCTTCTAAGATTTTTTTTTTTTTTTTTTTCTAATCTTTAATATTATATTATCTATTTTCTAAGTTTACTTGATATATAAATTCTGCTATCTATCTTAGTATTTTTCTTCGTAAGTTTTTAATTTGTATTTTGATGGAGTTTTCCTCTTCTATTAAGGTTAATGCCAGAATTCTTAGTCTTGATTTTTTAGTTTGTTTGTCTAATATTTCCTTCTCTATAAGGCCTTCAATATCTCTTTCTGTATTTCTTTTCTTTAATATTTCTTTTTTTTCTTTAGCTTCTTTATGTTTTTGTTCTAGCAGCTTTGTTTTTTGTCGAACTTGTATCTTTTTTATTTCCTTTTTAATTTTATTTTTCTTTTTTTTCATGTTGTTTTATTTCTATTAATTCTACTGATTTTTTTATTTTTTTTTTTTTGGTATTAAGGTGAGGCCTTGCTTGTATCTTTATTAATAATTTTTTGAAATAGCAACAATGTAGATTACTACAACAATATAGAGATTTACAGAGTAGCTAC